GCCCCCCCGGCAGCGCTCACTTGCGGATCAGGGCCTTCATGTCTCGGAGCCACGAGGTCCGCACCTTGAGCTGCCCCCCAAGCTGGTCAGCGTGGCCTCTCTTGGTGGCCGGGACCAGGATCAGGATGAGTGTTCCTGTGATCATGCCCACGATGGGGGACACCTGGTAGGGCAGGAGTAGGTCAGGCAGGTGGGGCCCCAGGGCCCAGGGGGCTGTCACTGTTTCGCCAAGAGCAAGCCCCCAGGAGGGCCGGGGTGGGAGGAGGCGGAAGGAGAGCGAACTGACCACCGGGCGGACGAACACGTGGAAAGACAGCCTGACAGACTCTGGAATCGAGGCTGGGGCCTGGGGGCCGGGACTCTGGCTGGCATGAAGCCCCAGCTGAGGGATGGGGTGGGTCTGCCCCGTGGGGAACAGAGCCGCCACGGCCCCGGGCCCTTCCGGGTGGAGGAGGACACCCTGGCGGCCCGCATTCCAAGACACCAGCCCCTCCGGCAGCTGGAGCCCAGGGAGGCCCGTCCCCACCCCCGCGAGCCCAGGGCGGAGGGAGTTCCTCTCCACGCGCCCCATCAAGAAATTCCACGGAGGCTGCTTCCTTCCTGCTTTTGAGGAAAAAACACTTTGTCTTAAGCTTCCGTTGCTCTGCGAGACTGGGGATCTCTGTTTCCTCCGATCGCGCTGTCCTGGGGCCTGGGCAGGCTTGCCTGAATCCTCCCTCGGGACAGGAAGGGGCTCCAGCCCCCCGGGCCCCCCCCCCCCCCCCCCGCACAGAGGTCTCCTCTCAGCCCTGCCCTCCCACAGCGCCAGGCTCGAGCAGGATGCGCCTCCGCGGACCTGGAACTTCCTGACACGTGGGAGAGTCCCTTGTCCCGTCCTGGGGCCCTGAGGCCGCAGGGCCACTGGGTCTGGCCCCCCAGCTCCCCATGCGCACGGATCCACGGACCCCAGGCTGGGGTGTCCTTACCCGCAAGGCCCAGCGCCAGTCTCCAGCCGCCTGCTTCACGCTGGAGCCCGTGATGTAGCCCAGGCCGCTGCAGACGAGACAGCGCGGGGGACGGTGTACTCGCCAGCCCGGGGGCGGCCGGCCGCCCACCCCACCCCACCCCACCTGCTGGCCGCCGCCGCGCGTCCGGGTCGCAGAGCGCCAGCTTCGGGGACGGGGGTGCCGGGACGCGCGCGGGGACCCTCACCTGCCCAGAGGGATGGCAAAGTAGAAGACGGACAGCATGAGCGTGCGCGTATTCTTGGCGAAGAGGTCGCCGATGACGGTGGGCGCGATGGTGGAGTAGCTGGCCTCGCCGACGCCCACCAGCCCCCGCGACAGGACCAGCAGCCAGAAGTGCTACAGCCAGAAGAGCGGAGGCCGCTGGCTCCTCGGCCTGGCCCGCCCGGGAGCCGGCCCACGGGATGGAGCCCAACGCCGCCTCGGCGGCGAGGACCCCCGGGCCCCCGGGCCCCCCCACCCCCACAAGCCCAGCACGGGGTTGGCACCGGTCTTCCGCAGGTTGGCGGCTGTAAGCGCGGCCACCTCCTCCGGGGGGCCCCGGCCCCACCTTGGGAGCTTCAAGTCACCCCGCTCACGTCCCACCCCGGGCAGGGCAGCTGGGCTGGCCCTGGCAGCACTGAGGACCCTGCGTGCACGAGGAGTGGGCAGTGCCCCCCCCCACCCCCGCCACATGTCAAAGCGGGAAGCCCAGCTGAGCCAGGAAGGGTGGGGCCGTGCCAGCTGCCAGGGTCCTCCCCCTCGGATGTGGACCCGGGCCCTCCGCCCCCCCCCCCCAGCTGCCCAGGGCCCGAGAACCCAGCCTGGCCATCTTTCCCCGGCCCCACCCTGACCACCCATCCGGCCGGCCAACGCCGCCCACAGGCTACCCTGCTCAGTCTCCCGCTTCCCTCCCTCCACCTGCCCGTCTCCGTCCGGGCCGGCCCTCTGCATTGTCGACTGCCCGTCCAGCCCCGCGCCTCTCCTCCGCCTCTGTTGTCCCCCGCCTGCTCGCCTCGGTCCCTCTCTCTGGGGGTCACCTGCCCGCGTTGCCGTTGGGTCGTCCTGTATCGGTTTCCATTAGCCTTTTACACATCACGTGTACCGATCCTTTGTTTAATGTGACGCCTCCAGCCACCGACGGCCTCCGGACTGCACATCTCGCTCAGGCCCCATCCCCAAATGACAAAAAATACCCTCTAACACGCTGTTTGCGAGACGCTGGAGGCGAGATTTCCTCCTCGGCAGGAGAGCAGGTGGACGGGACGTCCTGTGGGTCCCCGGGCCTCCCCAGGAACCCCCTCCTTGTGCGTGTGTCACGCTTCCTCCCTCCCTGTTCCCGCACACGCACGTGCCCCCACATGCTTTCCAAACAGGGACGTAAAGGGGACGGTTCCGTGCCTCCTGCCCCGCACCTCGCCTCTGCCCTCAGTCACGCGTCGTGGAAGCCGGCCCATCGACGCCGGCTAACAAAGACCCGTTCACGCTTGCTTCTCCTGCCACGAAGACACCCGTCTTTCCGGGCGTGCACGGCACGGTCCCGCTGTCCTCCGAGACCGTCACAAACGCCCGTGTGCGCGTGTGCCGCTCCGCGTGCACGAGCCGGGGTTTCTCTCCCGGGTACACACCTCGAAGTCAGAGGCCGGGCCGCGGGCCGCGCTCCCGTGGCACTCTGCAGGACCCTGCGGCTCTGCTCTCCGCAGAGGCCCCGCCAATTTGCACCGCCAGCAGCAGCTTCAGTAACACTTGGTGTCCTCACCTCCCTAATTATGGCCCATCTGATGGGTGTGAAGCGTTATCTCGTTGTCGTTTCAATTTGCATTTCCCTGCTGACTTGAGACCGACACCGGGCACCGGCTCCTCCTGGGACGGCCGGTCCTCGTCCTCCGCCCGCTTTCCTACGGGCTCGTCCGGCTTTTTCCGGCCGATTTCTAGCTCCCGGTTTTTAGACTTTGCTTTTCCCCTTATTTTCGCCTGTCTGGAACTTATTTTGAAGCAGGGTTTAGCTTTCATCCAGGTGCACGGTCAATCCTCCACAAGCCCCCCGAGGCACACCTGTCACCCCCACGGAAGGGACCGTTTCACCGTCGGCCTGCTGCTTTGGTTAAGCGGCCACCCCGTGATGACCAACGGGGCAGGCCACCTCCACGGCCACTTTTCACAATGTTCCTGGACGTTTTCTCTGCCAAATGAACTTCAGGATCCCACTGCCGACGCTCGCCAACACCCCTCCCCCCCTCCCCGCCCCGCGGGGCCCCCGGACCGGGGCGGCCGTGAGTCTACAGACTAACTGGGGCGATCCCTCTCTCCGCCTCCGCCGGCCCGCCCTCCCTCCCACACCCGGGCACCGGCGTCGCGGTCCCCAGAAGCTTCTGGTCCAGGCCCCATTTTCGACCGTGGCCGACAGACTCTACTGACACTCTGGCCCGACCCTCCTCCGTGAAGCCACGTTGTACCCGCAAACCTGCCTGTTCCTTCCGCCCCTGCCTCCGGCCTCTTCTGGGCCAGCGTCAACCTCCGGAGGAAGCCCAGACCCTGAAGTGCTCCACCACCTGGCTCCCGCCTTCCTTTCCAGCCAAAACACTCTCCTCCGTTGTGGACCCACCGACACGCCCACCGTCAGTGCCTCTGTGGGCTTGCTCCCCCTGCCATCCTGTCCACCAAAGGCCTCATCACCCTATTCCACCTGCCTAGCTCAAATGCCACCTCCTCCAGGAAGTTCTCCCTGGCCCCATGGATTTCAAGAGACAGCTCTCTCTTGGGTCAGGGCTCTCGGCACCTTGCACATCCTAAAGGCTGTGAACGTGGGGCGCCTGTCACATCTTCCCACACCCAGCCCGGGAGCCCCCAAGGACGGAGAGAGGGTCTGCTCCTTTATGCCGGAGGCCAAAAGCTCCTTGAAGACAGATCTTGGTCTTTGCTCCTTCCTCCTGTATTTCCCTCTACGGCAGCCACCATGTGATTGTCCTTCCTCTGCTCGAACACTCCTGCCGATGGGAGACTCACTACCTATCAAAGCAACATATCTCCCTTGTGGATCAGAAGAGCAGAAGTGACAGTTGGTTGAATGCCGCCACGGTCCGCCGTCTGGGCACTCATCGGCTCGGCGATTTCCCACAATAAACCTTCCGGCGGGGAAACACTAGTCCCATTTTACAGATGAAGGAACCGAGGCTCAGGGAGATCTCTCCAGATCACAAGGCTGAACAGACAACAGAGTTGGGACATTCGCACCCGGACTGTGGGAGCTGAGTAAGAAACACCTTCCTCATGTTGAAATGATGTTTGCCGCCCTAGGACTCTGACCCAAGGAGTCAGCTGGTGGTTGGGCAAAGAGCACACCGAGCGGGGCGCCCGGCCGGCTCAGTCAGTACGCGTGTGACTCTTGACCTTGGGGACACGAGTTCAAGCCCCATTTTGGGCGCAGAGTTTACTTTAAAAAAATAAAGTAAAAGGGCGCTGGGTGGCTCACGGTCAGCTGAGTGCCCGACTCCTGACCTTGGCTCAGGTCGTGATCCCAAGGTCACGGAATCAAGCCCCACATCGGGCTCTGCGCTGAGCTCGGAGCCTGCTTGGGATTCTCTCTCTCTCTCTGCCCCTCCCCCATTCACACTCAAGCTCTCTTAAAAACAACGAAAAGGAGGAAACCGCGCAAGGCACAGAGAGGGGCCGTGACTCACCTGGGGTCACACGGCAAGGTGCTGGCAGAGCTGGGACTAGAATAAAGGGCCCTGCCTCCTGGACCAGACTGGTTCTGCCATTCCTTGCATCGTCCCCCAAGTCAAGGCAGGTCGGAAAGAGGGTGCCACGCGGGGCTCGGCTAGGCTCGCAGCGGGGAGGCCCTTTCCGTAGCCAGGCCAGCTTACAAAAGCAGCCATGACGCCCCCCCTCCCCCGCCCCCCCAACCCCTGCTCTGGGAAGACAGCGCCTGAGGCTCCAGCAGAGAGGCGGGAACGAAGCCGGGCGAGGGGGGGTGGGGGGCGGGGGCAGAGGAGCCGACGCACCTGCCGGGGGATGAAGGAACTGGAGAAGGTGACCGCCGACCAGAAGAAGACGCCACAGCTGAGGATCACCTTCCTGTTGAAGCGGTCACCCAGATAGCCGAAGATGGGGGCGGCCACCATGAAACTGCAGATGAACACTGCGGGGAGAGGAGGCCGTGACACGGGGCCAGAGGCGACCCCACGACCCGCCCGCCTCCCCGCGGGCCCAGCTTGTCCGGCGGGTGACCCTCGGGGGACTTGAGCGAAAGAGGACAGATTCACCGAGCGGTTGACGTGGCAGGAGCCACGTCAGGAGCTCACCGAACCTGGGGCCTTGTGGGTCCGTGCAAGGCCACCTCCTCGCAAAAGAGGGGAGGCAAGACTCGCCCGAGGCCCCACCGGCGGCAAAAGCCCCGCGGGGACCTGATCCCCTGTGTGTCCGACCCCGGAGCCAGTGTCCTCGTACCTCGTCACGCTGCTGTCCTTCTTATACTTGGGAGAGAGGTTCGGAGAGGGGAAGGGACCCACCCAAGGTCACACAGCAAACCGGGACGGAACAGGGCCCAGAACCCCAGTCTTCCACCTGCCAGGTCATGCAGTCACACTCACTCCTCACTCCCCACAGGCTGGAGAGGCTTTACTGGCGTCTGGAAACACTGTCGTTCATTCGCTCACTCTTTCACTCATTCAACAAAACAGGCAAAAATCCCTGCCTTCCTGGGCAGGAGAAAGAAACCATAGAATGCAAAATAGAGTACATCAGATGGTGGCAAATGCTAAGGAGGGGAAAAGGGCAGAGACGGGAGACAGGAAACGTGTGTGACACAGAGAAAGAAGGGCCAGAGAGGTGACATTTCAGTGAAGACCTGGAGGAGGTAAGGAAAAAAAATCATGCAAACACTGGGGCCAGTGCAAAGGCCCTGAGGCAGGAGTATGCTTAGCACATGTGAAGAATAGCATAGAGGCCAGAACGGCTGGAGCAGAAGGAAGGAGGGAGGAAGGCCGGACGAGCCAGGGCCTGTGGCCCACCGTGGGCACTGTGGCTTCTACGGCTGAGAGAGGGCACAGAGCAGGGAGTGATCTGACCTGGTTTTGTTCTAGAACGAGACAGAAGACTCCATGGGGAGCGATGGGAGGGGCCTTGGGGCCCCAGGTGGGACCTAGAGGCCCAGCAAGGCAGGGCAGGCCCTAGGGGTCAGGGAACAAGGAGCTCCCCCAGGCCTCCCCCCTGCAAGGCGGTCCCACAGCTGACGGACAGATGGCCAGACAAAGGCCGAGGGTGGGCAGACGAGGTGGCCGGTTGGCCGGGCTCTGACCGCCAGGCTGAGTGTGCACACGGGCTGGGCTTCTCCCTCAGACAGAGGTGGGGGGGGGTGAAGGATGCACTCGGTGAAGGAGGGGAGAGGGCCGGGCCGGAGGAGAGTGAGGGTCTCCCTCTTGTCCCAGTGAGGACGGGGTGTGGCCGCAGGGGAAACTGGGGCTTGGGCAGCATCAGCACAGAGGGGCGCGACCTGGGCCCAAAGTGAGCTCTGATCCTTCCCAGCTGGGTGACGTTGAGCAGCAGGTCGCCACCTCTCTGTTCTCAGTTCACTGGTGTCCTGATAAACGTCCAACGACGGACTCCAGTAAAGGGGGGATGGGGGCGGGGGGAGGGATGTGGTGTTTGCCAACTGTTGCCGACTGTCGAGGGGTGAACACGCCCACCGTGGCTGCCCGTGGCTGCGGTGTGATGTCACCGACCCGAGTCACAGGAGGTGGGTCTCGGGAGCGCCGCCGCGAAGGCAGATCGATGGCGTAAATGGCCTCAGGGACACAGATAATGGTAGAATGCAGGGACCTGACTAGGGAAGGATGCGTTCTGAGTATTTACTACCTTCGTTTTTAACACAAGATGCTTAACCACAAGTGTACATAATTCAGTTGTCGCTAAGGGTCGCGTTCAGCTACCGGCTCGCATGATGCCTGAGAATTAACACACAGCCTCTCGCGGGCTGGTCGAGGCCGCCGCCCCGCCAGCTTCCTCATCCGCCAAATGAACATAAAAATAGCAAGGCCCCGGGGGCCGAGCCAGCGCGGCGTGAGATAAAGCGCAAGGTGCTCTGCCACGCCCCGCCCGGAGCACGGCCTCGGTCAACACCGGGTCCTTGTTTAGATTCATCCACACAGAAATTACTTCCTCATATCTAGAAAAAGAACTTTTCCTGCTGGGCCTGCCTCACAGGACCTGCCTGAGATCAGACCAGGATGCGGGCAGAAAAGCAACGTTGATCCTTTAGGACTTACGCACATTAGGGGGAGGAGGGAGGACGGTTCCCTCTGGGCCTGTCTGCGCCAAGCGGGGAGAGGGCACAAGGAACCGGAGGAAGAGTGAGCCCTGTCCGGCCGGGGGGCAGAGCCTATCCGTGGGCTGCCCAGCTCGAAGGGGCTAGGATGCCAGGAGAGCCACTGAGAGGGCCAACTCCTGCCAGGATGGCGAAGAGAGGCTTCACGGAGGCGGCGATGTCAGAGCTGGGCATTGAAGGGTGCACGGGAGTTTGCCAGCGACGATGATGCTTAAAACCAAGAATACATACTAAAATATAAATCACAAATCTTATAAGCAATACCGTGCAACGGTTAGGGAGGCACGATGCTCACGGCTAACGAGAACCTTGGTTGTCGCTCACGGAACACTTGTAGACAGGCCTGAGCCCGCCCTGGACGTAAGCACAGGCTTCTCACTTGCCCCTCACGACTACCTTCGTCCCGCAGAAAGGTGCCAGAGGCCGAAAGGCGTTTGTCCCACGCCAGGGTCTAAGCCACACTAGGACACGGCATGTCTGTCCTCCTGCAGGGGTGGACAGGGCCCGGGGGGAGAGCCAGGCCGCCGTCCCCACCACCTGGCCTGCGGCAGGGCAGGAGGGCGGCCCCGACTTCGCGACCCTGGCTCCCCGCCAGCCATCCAAGTGGACCGAGTCACAGGGGACTCCGGTGGGAGCAGGTCCCCACGCTCACCGCTGGGTCCCAAGCACCCACCCGTCCCCACCGTGTCATCCCGTGTTGGAGCTGGGTCACCAACAGCTGGAAGAACCTGCCCAGAACTGCACAGTGACCCTCCTGCCCCCAGACGCCCTGCACCCTCAGCGCTGTCCCCTTGGGGACAAGGGCGTCCAGGGGCACAAGGGAGAGCAGCCCTCCCCTCTGCTACGGACAGACAGGTAAGAGGACGTTCCCAGGCCCTCAGGTGCATCACGGGCCAGCAGAGGGGCCTCGATGCAATCAGGGCAGGGACAGGAGGAAAAATGCTCCTGGCAGAAGAAACAGCAGCGGCAAAGGCCTGGAACCTTGTCCTGCCGGCCTAGAAACTTCCACTCCCCCCCCCCCACCCCAGCCCTATAGTCTTTGCTGGAAGAGAGCTTTCTGGGCGGCCTGGCTGCCCCACCCAGACCTCGGTGGGGGTGGCCTTCCCAGCAGCTCCCGCACAAGGACATCCTGCAGTCAGGGCACGGGGAAGCCCTGTCTTGGCTCACGTGTGCTGAGCCCACAGGACGGGGACAATGGGGCTGCGGGCAGGGGGGGCGGGGGGGCGTGGTGAGCCAGCCCACAGGATGGGCAGGATGGGGACAATGGGGCCGCGGGCAAGGGGGGGGGGGGAGGGGGGCAGCGTGGGAGGAGCCACCTTGCAGAACGACTTCATGCGGTGTCCCCGCCCCACAGGAATGCCCAGGGGCCTTCTCCTCTGGGGCCCTCAGAGGGTCCAGCCCCCAGAAGTCCGGAACCACCCCACTGAGGACCCTGTGACCCTCTGATCCCACCCGGGAGCTGCTCCCAGGGTGCATGTGGCCCTGTCTGATCCCAGAAGCTGGTCCTGGGGCAGGGGCAGGTGAGGCCTGAGCTGGGGGAGCCCTGGACGCCCCGTCGGTGGCCTTGGAGCTCACGTCCAGCCCCCACCTCAGCCTGGGCTGAACCAGGGCTATTTTTACAGAGTCCAGATCCGGCTGACCTGTCGTTCGGGGAGATATGCCATCCTGCACCTCCCGTGGGCGGGGAGGGTGTCCGGCCGGCTCTGCCCACAGGGTGTGGACGGGACGCCCAGGCAGCCAGGCCACGGGGAGGCCCCATCGCTGCCTGCAGGGCCACCAAGCTCGGACTTCCTGTAGGAAGAAGGGGGCCGCTCCTCCCTCCCACCGCTCAGGATACAAGCCCTGGGACGGCCCCTCGGGCCTCAGGGAGACCGGTCCTAGGGCCCCCCCCCCCCCGACAGGCTGGGGGAACCGCCATGGGGGCTGCCTGACTATGAAGCAGGCCACTGCAGAAGTGGGGAGGAGAGCAAGGCCAGCAGGACACTCTACCCGAAGCAGGGCCGCCGTCTGGTTTCGGTCTGAGCTGGCTCTTCCTCTGTCCTGGCACGTCCTGGCACGTCCTCGTGACCCCACCAACCCCAGCCCTGAGCTGCCTTCCAGCGCCCTCCCCCACCACCCGCCCCAGAGAGAGCATCCCCATGCAGACGTCTAACGGGGCCATGCCTGCCCCAAAGCCTCCTCTGGCTCCCTACTGCCCTAAGACCAAAGCCACAGGCCCTTCACGATGTGCCCCTGTCCCCCGCCCAGCCTCCTTCCTTCTGGGGGGAGGGGGGCAAACACGAGTCCCCAGAGCCTCCAATCTGCTCCCCTTCCACAGACCCAGCTTCTGATCCACTCACTCTCTCTTCGGCTGGGTCTACACTGCTGACGTCCAGGGCTCACGGTTTTCACTTCCAGAATTGTGAATTCAGCTTTTCAGTCCCTATTCCTTTCCAATAAGGTGCTATCCCTGTCTTACAAATTCTACTCTTTCTTTGGAACCGTGGAAATGAAGCACATAGGACGTTAAAGTCTGTTAAGGCAAACCTACAGCCTGAAATTCCTCGGGGATCGGGTCGCCTGCTTTCTGGGATCCGTTGCCCCCTCCCACAAAGGCTTCCTCCTCGTGGGCTCTGCCCACGCTCAGTCTGCCTTCAGTGGGCACCGTCATCTGTGCCCCACACGGGCCCTGGGGCACAAAGGCTCCCGTCAGGAGCCGCACCTGCAGAAGGGGCCGCAAAGCCCGGGCCGCACGGAGCAGGCTCTCGGCACACAGCCAGAGCCGGGACGGAGATCTCACAGGCAGAAAAAGTGCCCACGGGCCGCCTGCGGGCACAGCCAGAAGTCAGGGGGCTTGCCCCGGGCTCGGGGTGGAAATCGCGTCACCCCCACGATGCTGGACCCCAAGCCTGCACGGGGCCGACCCTGCAAGAAATCCCCGGGGCCCGGACGCTGGGCCGGAGTGGGCGGTCGATCCCTGGATGAATGTGGGTGACAGCTTCCTGCAGCCTCGTCGCGCTAGTCTCTTTACTCTTTATGTAGATTTAAAATGTTTCATCATAAAAATGTTTACACTAAAAATACCGTAACAAGCTTCTGTGACAGATACTGGTCCCCAGGCGCCCTGCACCACTTGGCTTTAATACCAGCTTCCTCTCCTGCTCCCCGGTTTAATTCCCTGCTGCTGGCACCTGGGAATCCCCCTGCCAGTCTTAGCTTTCAAGCTCAGCTATGTAATTTAAGTGTTTTCTTGGCATATTTTACGCAGCGTGGAGTGGGGGGGAGGGTTTCTCACATCTGCTCAATCTGACACACTGACTGGAAGCCCTATGCCCTGAACAAACTCTAACACATCCTTCAAAGCCCCGCTCAAATGTCCCCTCCTCAGGGGGGTCTGATCCACCTGCCACCAGGCAGAGCTAGGTGTGCCCTCGCTGCTGTCCCCCCAGGCTCCCCCGCCCCCGGCGGGCCCCCCCCCCCCGCCCCCGTCATGCCTAGGTGGTGACTAGATAGGTTTTCTGTCCCCGGTGATGGGGGCAATCTACTGGAATGCAGGGACAGAGGCTATGGCAGAGCCCAGCAGGAGCTGCCCCTCTGGGTGTAGGCTGTGGAGACCCGGGGCCCCGAGACACCGGGACCAGGGCTGGAGCTCTTCTGCAGGCTTTCCCAGAAGCTTCTGCAGGGGCTCGGGGGCCTGCTCGGGGCTGCCGAAGACAGGCTCTTCCCAAGCCAGGGCTCACGGTCTGGTCCCAAGGGGAAACAGCAGGGGCAGGCCCAGGCCTGACTCTCAGCCGCACCCCCTGCCCTGTCTCCGGGCCCAGCAGCCCCTGGTGCCCACGAACGAGCAGACGGCCCGGCTCTCAGCCCTGGCCCTTTGATCTGGGCAAACACCAGCACCTGGCTGGCGCCCTCCACCTGGCTCCGACCTTATCAGGGGCTTGGGGAAGAGACAGGTGCCTGGGGCCCAGGCCAATTAGGTGATTTTCCTGGTCGCCCACTGAGTCACATCCTGGTCTAGCTGGCCTGGCTCCTTGGCTCAGGTGGCCGAGGGGTGAGGACACTCAGGGAGCCAGCCCGGCAACGCCAGGGGCAGGTGGTAGGGTGGAGGCCACGGGGTAAGGGTCCCTGAGAGACCACGGCCCAGGGGCGCCCACGCTGAGAGCACAGAGACGCCAGACGCTGAGACACGCGGCCAGGCCTCCCCTCCCCAGGTGGAGACGGCGGCACGCGTGGAGCCCCAATCCTGGGCCCGCCGGCCTCCCCGCACGCGACCCCCTGTGAGTCACCAGCAGAGCTGACCTCTGTCCCTTCATCTGGGAAGTGCAGCTGCCCAGGGAGGTTGTGGGGGCAGAACCGACCATGCTGGTGGGGGGGGGGGGGGGGGGGGGGGCCCCCCCCCGCCCCGGGGGGGGGGGGGGGGGGGGGGGGTGGTGTCCACCTCCAGCCAGGTTGCCAGGGGTCAGTAGGGGCCACCATGACTTCTCTGTCCACTAGGAAGGCGGCCAGGGACACCTTGCAATAGGGACAGCACCGCTTGGGGTGGTTGGAGGCTGGGGCGGACCCTGAACACCCCGTCAGTCAGCAAGGCTGAGGCCCAGAGGGGACGGGACCAGGGGCCACAGAGGGAGGGGGCTGGAGAGCTGGGCTGTCTCCTGCCCTGTCCCCACTCCCCACATCTGGCTGAAACTCTCTTCCAGGCTGTGAGTGGCGGTCACTGTGGGCTCAGAGCCCAGGAGGCTGGGGGGGGGGGGTGGGGGAGGGCCAGAGGACAGGTTTGGGCTCCTGTGCTGGGTGAGGGATGTGGGCAGAGGCAGGGGCCGGCCCCCCTCAGGGTTCTGGGTCACACAGCCTTGCCCCTGTGCCAGCTTTCTCAGCTGTCTGTTGGGGCTGCGCCCTGCAGCGATCACCTCGTCTGTCTGAGCCCCAAAACCACCCTGGGAAAGGATCACAGGCCGCAGGGCCTGGCCGAGCGGCTCATGGAGGCTGGCACAGCACATTCTGGAATGCCACCTAGGCAGGTCAGGCAGGTTCCGGGACATAGCCAGCTCGCTCCACTCCTCCCTCCCGGGAGAGCCCAGGCAGGGGAAGGGGTTCACAGGCTGGAATGCAGACCGCGGACTTCCTCCCACACATCTGACCGGGCCTCACAACCACACACCCTCCAGGGCCAGAAGAAATCAGAGCCAAGGAACCGGGCCCTCGGCCACACAGCAAGCATGGGGCCAGGTAGTGGGTCGGCAGGGACAATGGAGACACAGGCCCCCCTGCCCCAGCCCAGGGGGCTCTGGCCCTGCCCCTCCCCACCCCCGCCAGGGAGGAAGCTTCAGGCCCAGGACTAGCCCAGGACCCAGGCACTCAGGCGCTTTCCCTGAGTTTGGAAATGGTTCCCGGACTGGCCGTGGGGATTTCCTGCTTTGACATCTCAGAGACTGTTCCCAGGCTGATGGCGACGGAGGAAATGGGGGTCATGCCATGGAAACAGGGTCACCAAAGGCTCTGCCGCCGTCCTGCCTGGAACCTAAGGAACTCCCTTCATCAGCCTCAGGGCAGACCCTGGGCCCCTGGGTCCTGATGAGGCCCCAGGACCAAAAGAAGGGTCCCCTCTGAGGACTCGGGCCTGTGGCCTCCCAGGGCGCCGCTGGTCCGTTTGCAGGGAGAGTAGCAGAGGCTGGGGAAGCTGGTCTTCTTGAGTGAGGTCAAGAGTGAGGTCTGGACACAAAGCACACGTCCCTTCCAGGGAGTCAGGACCAGGGAGGAGACCCCGCGGGGAGACCCAGCAGGTGTGGGGGGCCTGGCAGGGGAGTGGGCCTCACCTGACTGCAGCAAGCCGGCGCCTCGGTCCTTGACCCCAAACTGCTGCTGGATGTCCAGAAGGACGCCTGGGAGGGAAGACAGAGGGTGCTTATGTCGGATGCCCGGGGCCCCTGTCCCCCACCCCACCTAGGAGACCCCCAGTCTAAGCCCAGCCCGCCCAACCCAGCCCCTTCCACAGAAGGCCACCTCGCCCAGTCTGGCCAGGCCACTGGGGAATCTGCAGGCCAGGCTATGCTCACCCTGGGGGCTTGGGATCCCACCCCCCACTCAGGGACCACTCAGGGCCACTGCAGGGACCTGAGGACAGACGGGCGGGACTCGGGCAAACGCATGCTCGCGCTCACTCAGCTGTCCTCGGGGTTGTAACCAGGACCCCGCTTTTCCGATGCCAGAGCTGAGACACAGAGGGAAGCGGGTAGGGCTTCTTGGGGGGAAGGGGATCCCTGGAGGTCATGCCTGTCCTCCTCCTGAGGCCCCACCACCTCTGCTCTCCCGTTAGGACTTTGCATGTTAAGAGGACTATAACCAGAGGCCACCAACAACCACGGACAGACAAAGCCATGGCTGCGTGGGGGCCGGCAACCTCCTGGAGCCTCCTCACCTCTCACGGCGCCCAGCCTCCCACCCCGCAGGCCCTGGGGGCCCCCACCTCTGCTTATCTCCAAGGACCGCAGGGGGCGGGGCCCCCGGCGCACCCCCCCCCCCCCCCCCCCCCCCCCCGGCCATGACACATCTGCACCGAGAAGGGCTAGGGAGCCAGGAGGAGGAGACAGGGCAGGTTGCCCCGACAGCCCCCCACACAGGGCACGGAAGAAGGGACCTGCCCTCGGGGGTCTCCCAGAGCTCATCAGGATATGGTGATGGCGCACATCACTGAGCAGGAACTGGGCAGACAAGGGAGCTGAGCACGAGAGGTTGAGCCTGCGCCCCAGGTCGTACAGCGGCAAGGCGGCCAAAGCGGCCCCCGGGGCCCCGGAGGAGGGTCCCGCCTGGAGACTGCCCCCCGAACCCCAGGGCCGGGATGCTGAGCCCTCTTCCGGGATGCAGCCTGACACCGAGAGACACTGGCCTCCTCCTCGTGAGTGCCGAGTGGATTCACCCTAATTACCCATAATGAAGAGGCTGTGCGAGGCCCAGTTAATGACTTAATAACTAAGGCGGGCTGTGGTCGTGCCCCGAACGCGGAAGCCAGGGGCCTGTCCCTGTGGACGGAGGGGCCACCAAGTGGGGCCTCCGCGGGTGGCACGGTTGGGCCCAACCTTAGGGCACCACTTACACTCACCTCCCGGCCCCGCAGCCCATTCGCCCCACTTCTGAGCCAGGGCCGCCCTGCCCCTCTCTCTCCCCCACAGTCAGCACCTCCCGTGGCTCCCCAGTGCCTCAGACGCACACTGGCCTCCACCAGGCCACGGGGCTGCAGGCTCAGCCCCTCCAACCCCGCCTCTGGCCTCCCTTCTCAGAACACCCCCACCGCCCCATGCTCTGGACCCCGACTGCCCACAGGTCCTCTACCCTGATTCCTGCCGCTCCTTCAACACTAGTTCAGGTGCCTCTTCTTCTAGGAAGTCTTCCTTGGCTTCTCCCCCTCCTGTCACCCTCAATAAGGCAGGTGCCCCCACATTCCCTGGGCACACTAGGATCAGTGACTTCTGAAGACACGTAGGGACGTGGGTAGGAGCTCGCTGGGCCCACGGTGGCTAAGAGCCACGAATTACTGCTCCCTGCTAAGTTCTAGGTACACGGTGAGGCTCTGCAGATGCGATCTCTACCCCTGCTGCTTCGTCGCATTTTTCACCCCATTTTACATATGAGAAAACGGAGGCCCTGAGAAGTGAAGTAACTTGTCCTATGGCAGGCAAGGGCCCCAGTGAGATTTGAAACAGGCTCTGTTGTCAAAAACCAAAAATGTTTTCTTCTGCCATGCCGCCTCTGCACGCACTTGGCTCTTGCGGGCCCCCAGCCCAGGCCCCGCCACGCAGCCAGCCCCCAGTGGCTGTTTGTGGACAGAGACGCCCCATCCCCACTGCAGTGAGAGCCCCCTCAGGGCAGGGTCGTGGCGGGGCATCTCCGGAACCCAGAACAGACGCCATCACATGTTAGGTGATGGACAGGTGCAGGTGGGAGGTGGCAGGAGGGCGAGACGCCCCTGGGTCACTACGCAGCGGGTGCCTGTCCACAGCCAAGAGGAGGGCACGTCCGGGGAGGAAGGCCGTATCAGCGTGGTCCTCATGAGGCCAGCAGGGGTCCGCAGCGCGGAGAAAACGCCCTTGCGTCCCCTGCCCTGCCCCAGGCATCTCCTAGCCTCCAGACTGGACATGCTCAACCCCCTCCAGCACTTCAAGCCCCAGTGTTTGCCTCTGCCTCCAGGAAGCCCCCCTGACCTCCTCCGATACACAGAGCTCCTGGTAAGAGGGAAGAACATTTTTGCACATCCAGATGGATGTCCTGGAAACTCCTGGGCAGGCCAGACCCCAAGGGCCTTAGGGGCCCTCACCCCAGCACCCTGGAGCCAGGCCTTGGGTCCACCGCCTGAGCTCCAGGCAGAACCTTCCCGGGGCCTGGGGGCAGGGCCTCACTGCAGCCTGGTAGGGACTGTGGCCACAGGCGGGTGAGAGCCGCTGGCCGCTGGCTCGGGAAGCATGTGTCACAGCAGCTCGCCAGCCGCCTGGATGTTCCTCTAGGCTCCCGCCTGGCCTGGGCCCACGAGCCCCTCCCTTCTTCCCACCACGACCTTATTTTTAGCCTCTTTCCTGGAGGCTGAGGTTTGGTGGGTCACAGGACGGGCCTCCTGCCCGGGAGCAGCCTCCCACAGCTGAGGCCAGGCCCCTCCACCAGCCCCGGGCACGCAAGGTGGGGCTCCACACGCAGCCCCCAGCCGCCCACGGCCACAGCTGAGTCGAGCCTCTCCGGGCCCACAGCCAGGACCACCCTCTGCCCACGGGGGTCCCCCTCCCTGGAGCAGCCCGAACATTCTGTCCCACCAACCCCCAGTTACACCTCTCTCTCTAACTCAAGCCCCCAGGGTCTCGCCTCTTGTCCCAGGCCAGCTGTCCCTCCTGCTGCCCCGGGAGCCGGCCCTGGGGCACGTCGGCTTGGGCCTCACTTCTGTCCCCTGCGCGTCAGCTCACAGACACGCGCCCCTCTCCGGCCCCTCTGCCAGCCCCTCAGATTCTCTCCCCACTCAGGCTTCCAGCCACCCAGACTCCCATCCATGGCTCTGCCGCGTCCTCCCTGGTCCCCAAGCCACAGCATGGCACTCCCCAGGGCAGACGGCCCTTGCCTTCCTCGGCCCCCAAGCGGGGGCCTCCAGAGAGTCTCCTTCACCCCCCGGCCCCCTCCTGGCACCCCAGCACCCCTCCTGCAGCCTGCCTCATGGGCACTTAGCCATCTTCTCCTAAGCCCTGGGCAGCAGCTCCAGAGAGCACAGCCCGTCTCTGGACTCAAGGAACAGGTGCCGCGGCCCAGAGGCTGTCACCTGGGTCAGTAACACCCCCGACGACGACAATGTGGGGACGGACATGCGTTCAGGGCTTACCGCTTGCCCGACATGGTTCGCACGGTGCTACCTGGATTAGTTCACCGAGCAGGGCTGCAGTCGTGCTTTGTGGATCCCCGCTGCCGGCCAAATGGAGCCCAGACTACTTCTGGCACCGGAGGCCTCCGTGACCCAGGTGTGCACAACCACCTGGCCTCAGGGTGAGACCCAAGAGTCACTGACACGCTGCCTGGGTGACCTGAACCACCGGCCTGGCCAGCCCTAGGCCCCTGTGGTGTGTACATCACAGCCTACAGGCCTCGGAGCCTTGACTCCAGCCAGGCCCTCTTCCCAGGGAGTCTGTCTACACCGTCGAGGTCTACCGCGTCCAGGGGTCAGACCCAAGGGTGTCTACGAGGGTGTCCCCTAACTCTCTCTCTCTGCAGCTCTTGTTGAAGAGGTGCCCGTAACCTCGAGAGCTGGCTGATCATGGATACTCACGGTGCCACCCCCCGCCACCCCCATCGTGGCTGGTCCGTTGGTAGATCCCAGAGAAGTCAGGTCCAGATCCTAACCTGCTGGGGTCACGCAGGCCTCACAAAGGCCACGACAGAAGAAGAAACTCACACTGACCTCGGGAGCCCCCGGCCCAGCCTCAGATGCACGGCGGAGATGACAAGACCCTGCGGTCTCTTCCTGCCCTTGTCAGCCAGGCCAGGGCACCAGGTCTCAAGTTCACGCCCTCAAACACAGGCATCATCACCCCACATTCACCCTGCCTTTTTCGGAGCAGACGACCTAGCTGAATCCCCAAGAGCGTGGCCTCCAATACCAGACCATCTGGGTTCGACTGCACTTACCCTGCTGTGTGACCTCAGGCAAGTTACTTAACCTCTCTGTATCTCTGTCTTCCTCTGCAATGTACCTTAATTTTAAGATCTGCTTCATATGGTTGTTGTGAGGTTTAGATGGGTTAATCGATGTAAAGTGCTTCGGATGTTGTCTGGCACAGAGTAGGTAGTCCATAAACGTTAAAAACGTGACCACAGATCACTAAGCCGCGGGGTAGGAGCCCCAGCCATGACCAGAGGGCAATGGGAACTCCCACCTCAGTGTTCTTTTCTCTAAAATGGGGCAGATGCCTGCAAGGACAGGGCCTAGGGATCTGAACGGATGGGCCACGGGTCCCAGGGAGGCCTCAGAGCTGGCTCACTCTGGGGAAGGATCACCCTTCTCCGACACTCAGCCGCAGCTCCCGCCCCGGTAATTACAGGAGCCTGAGGGCCTGGCTCTGCTGACCTGGCCCTGCAGGCACCCCCACCCTGCCCCCAGCCGAAGGGGACCAGCCAGGGCGGTCCCTGAGCCAGGACCGGCTCTCAAGCACACTCACCTCTACCTGCCCCTCTGGGAGCATCTGGGTCTGCTCTGAGCCCCGGGCTGCCCGTTCGACAGCCACAGGGTCCCCATACGCCCCACACCCACCCCGAATCCCAATCACGTTTGTTGAACCTACACCGACCCTCCCACCGCGACGCCACCCGACAAACCTGGGTCATTAACGTCACAGGGGCTTCGCGCTCACCTCCACAG